CCTGCCCTCCCTTGGGGAAGGTCTTGCTGGATCTCTGTTTTCCCTTCTTTTGAGACCCCCCTTTTGGGGGTGGTGATGTGTGTGACCCCCCTTGGGAGATCCCTGGGACCCCTCTTGGCTCTGTGACCCCGGGATCTATGGATCCCCTTCGCCTCAGGGAGACCCCCTGAACCCTTCTGCCCTTGGATCTGTGGGGATGCCCCCAGATCCTGCCCCCCTCCTCCCCCTGGGACATCCCCCCCCAAACCCTTTTTCCCTTCCCACATCCCCCTTTTCTCTTCCCCCTGCGATTGTGCCGCCATTCCGGACCCCCCTCCTCAACCCCCCCAGGATTTTGGGGGGACCACCCCCAGCCACCCACCTTCTCCTCTCTGCACCCCTTCTCCAAGGCCCCCTCAAACCTCGCAGGGCTGGGTGTGTGGGGGATCCCAGCACCCCATTCATCTTGGGGGGAGCGGGTATGGACACCTGGATCAGGCTCCCTGTCAGGGATCGGGGTCTCCCCCCTCCATGGGGGGGTGCCTAGCGGGGGTCTCCCTTTGCTTGCAGAGCCGAGTGATCTCGGGTAGCGCGCGAGGGAGCCGGCGTGGGCGCAGGCAGGTGGAGGATGAACGGCGAAGCCGAGTGCCCTGCAGACTTGGAAATGACAGCTCCCAAAAACCAAGGTGAGCCCCCCCCAAACCTACCACCACCACCACCACCACACCGGGGGTCCCACGGGAGTACCACTGCTGTGGGGCATCTGCCTCATCCCCATCCCAGAGCACGCACACGTCTGGGAGCGCGCGGATGCTCGTGCTGGCAGCCGCTCCATCTCCGGCGAAGGGTGTCGGGGATGCTCATTTTGGGTGGCGGGTGTTTCGGTTCAGGGAGGGGAGGGGGGGGACACGGGCTGGCACAAAGAGGTGCTGCCTTCGCCGACCACATCTGGCCTGCATTAAAAGCCGGAGCCGTTACCTTGGGCCTCCAGCTTCCAGACCCCGGGGATGACATCAGAGGTTCAGCTTTTATTGGAAAAAGGGGGAGGAAAACAAGGTAAAAAAGGGATGTTTTTATTTGGGGCAGCAGGGCTTTGCTAGCCCGCCACCCAAAAATTCCCTGGGTGCACTGCAAAGCCCCGGGAGCACAGTCCGGCCACCCTGGCCTGCCTGGTCCCCCTGTCTTTCCTCCCTTGCCGCAGTCGGTGCGTTGCCCCGAGCGAACCCGGCTGGAGCACGTGTCCTTCGCCGGGTCTTTAGCTGGATTTAATTACACCGGGGCAGCTTTCCTAATATAGACCCGGCCCGGCCGATGCCAGGAGAGCCGGGGATAAATCGGTCCCAGGGCACAGACAACCCCATTCATCTTTGGCGGGTGAACTCTGCAATTCCGGCATTTTTCGGCAAACCCCGGCAGGAGAGAGAGGATATGGAGGGATGGGGGGAGGCGGCGTTGAGCAGTGGGGTCCCCACCCCGCTGCCAGCGAGTGTTCGGAGAGGTTTCCACAGTTTTTTTATGTATTCCTGCGGGTTGTGATTGTTTCGGCTGTCTGCCATCAGGGGGGTCACGCGGGGCCAAAGGTCTTGTGGCGTTTCTGTGTTGGAGGGGGGAAACTGAGGCACAGAGCTTGTTGATGGGGTCAGGTTTGGGGGGGAGTTGCGTCCCTTTCTCCCTCCCCACTTGATTTTCGTGGCTGTGCTGCTTTCGGGTATTTCTCCTGGTTTCTGCAAGTAAAGTTGGCACTGGCTTCACGGCCCAATTCTGCCTTGTTGGTCCTTATCTGGGGAAGGGCTGGAAAGCAGGTGGGAAAAATAGGAAGATAAAATTTGGGGCTCGGTGCCACCCCCCAGCTCTGATTCCCCCCCACCCCGAGGCACGGCAGGGGATGGGGGCTTCCCATCTCTTTTTACCCTTCGTGACTTTTTCGGGCTCCGAAGTTGGGAGTGTGGAGACACATCCTGAGCCCCTGGGCTCCCTGCTTTATGGGGGGGCTCTTTCCATCTCCCCCCTTCCCAATTAATCCCTAACGGACCTGGTGAGGTAACTACAGGACCGGCTGGATCCCAAACTGTTCTGCCTCGGCCCCCCAGCCTGGTCCAGCAGGGGAAATGGGGTGGGGGGGACAGGTCCTGGCTGTGCTCCCCCCGTGCCCCGGCTGTGGGTCCCACGTGTCCTTTAACATCTTTTGTTGGGATTTGGGGTTGGGGGGGGTGCGGGGGTGTTTGCCCTTTGCCAGACCGATGCAGTGGCGGGAGGTGGAGGCAGAGGTGGTGTTTTCGTGTGTATTGAGTTTGAGCGGAGGGAGAGCCGCAGCTGGGTATTTCTGGGGGATTGTTTTTCATTCCTGGGGACGGAGGGAGAGCGCGATGTTCCCCTCAAATCCGTGATGGACCGCACCATCCCCATTCCGTCGGGATGCTCTGTGTTCCTTAGGCAGCTCCGAACGCCCCAGTCTTTGCCCCAGCAGTGACGTGGGGCAGGGGACACCCTGGAGACCCAGTCCCATGCCCGGGGACCCCTTGGGTTCGGTTGCCCATCCCGGGCTGAATCAGCCAGGGCCACGTAGGCGTGCGGCTCGGGGCTCTGCTCCTCCTCCAACCTGTCCCCGGGGACCTCTCTTTCCGTTCCCAGGACCCGTTGCTTTTCCCCAGGGCCGCCCGTGTTTGCGGATCACCCCAGGGCTCCTCTCCTCAGTTCGGAGCAGAGAGCCCGGCAGCGGAATTCCCCTGGTGAGGAAGCAGCCCCAAAGTTGGTGCTGGATGGGGGCATTCGGTGCTGGGATGTCCTGCCTTGCTGCCTGTGCCGGCACGATGCCGCTGCCCATCCCGGCCTCCCAGTTGCTCCAGGCTCCCCGGCTTTGCCATGCACCCGTCCCACCATCCCGGCATCTTGTCCGTATGGGAGCTGGGGATGCTCCTCCCAGCAGCTTGGGGGGATGTTGGGGTGGTGTAACCATCAAACCTGTGCCGTCAGGGACCCCATTGCGAGACGGGGCGGGGGGCTGTGCTGGGTTCTGCCCCCCCTCCACCCCGCTTTGTGGTATCGGAGCTTTGACCTTGGCAGAGGTCAACATGGAGCTAGGTCCCAGGTGATGGCAAGGCTCTCCAAGTTGGAGGAAAAGCAGCACTGCAGGGTTTTCCATTGCTCCGGACACATCTTTTCCACTTAGAAAGTGGGTTTCCCTGCTTCCTCCTTGGCTGGAGAGCACGTCGCTCCCGTCTCTCTCTGCCGGGCTTCGCTCCCGTGCGTAGGGAATAGCCCTCTGCTCCCGCGCAGCAGAGCCATCCCCTTATCTGATGGTGTACTGGGGCGAGCGAGTCTCTCTGGTTTGCACCGAGTGGATTTTCTAGCTTTGCCTGGGATTGTTTTGGCCCGTAGAAAGTTGCTGGAGGGTGATGGAAACAGCCAGGTCCCTTTGATCTTTAATCTCGAGAGGCAGCATGTGGAGATTACGTGTCCCAGCGTGTGGTCTGGAGCTGCACGCCGGGAGCTGTAGTCCCCGTGTCCTGCCGGGAAAGCTGCCTGCCCATCGCTAAGCCTGTTTCTTTGGTGCTCAGACCGCTGGTCTCAGGAGGACATGCTGACTCTGCTGGAGTGCATGAAGAATAACCTGCCCTCCAACGACGGGAGCAAGTTCAAAACCACCGAGTCCCACCTGGATTGGGAGAAAGTGGCTTTCAAGGACTTTTCAGGGGAGATGTGCAAGATGAAGTGGATGGAGATTTCTAACGAGGTAACCGACAGCCGCACAGGGCTTGGAGGGAGTCTCTGCGAGAGGGACCGAGCATCCCGGTGACCTCCCAGGGCTGTTTGAATCGCTCAAGTTCAACGCCCCGAGTCCTCGGCCCTTAGTGCCGACACCACCCCGCTGCCAGTGGCATTGCGAACCCCTCGGAGGTGCGGGGATGGGTTGTTTGCGCAGTGGCATTATGAAAACCCTGTGGGTTTATGCGGTGTCGAGCGGTGACCTGCCCTGTCCCCCACCCCGCGCCTGTTCACTTTGTGGCCCTTCGTTGACCCTGCAGGTGAGGAAGTTTCGGACCCTCACGGAGCTCATTATGGACGCTGAAGAGCACGTGAAGAATCCTTACAAGGGCAAAAAACTCAAGGTATCGGACAAGAATTGGGACTGGGCCCTAAAGGGGGACCTCCCCCTTCCCCAGGATGGGAGGCTGTCACCCGTGTGGCACCCCAGACCCGTGTGGCTCTGCCACCAGAGCCCCTGCAGGCACCTCACTGCCCGTAATCCCCGCGGCCGGCTGCCCAAGGCTCCGGAGGCCACGGGCTCTGGGCACGGGCCAAGTCCAGGGTACATTTAATATGGCTGGCTGTATCGCGGGCAGCCTGCATCCAAGTTTAGCACCGGCGGGGGGGGCGCTGGGAAGCCGCCGTCCTATTCCTGGCCTGCCGGGTCGGGTGGGGTGCTGCTTTTGGCCGGGTTGGCACCGGGGCAGCCGATGCTCTGCCACCGGCCATCCCTGGGAGGTGGATCCGGGGTCCCCTCCTCCTGCCTCAGTTTCCCCTCTTGCGGCACAACCGCTCTGTGCCAACAGCTCTGGATGGCCGGAGGCTGCTCCCGAGATACTCGGCCCTGGGATGCTGGAGTTCCTGGGGAAGGGAGCCCTTGTTCCTAGTGTTTTTTCCCCCCTTGCCTGCAAAGCCGGGGTGTTCCCATCTCAGGGAGCTGGATTACCAGTGGGGCTGGATGGAGGCAGGTCTTCCCCAGTACCAGGGGGGAGCTGGGAGCCGGCAGGGTTTGGCTGTGCCCTCCGCAGTGCCACCGGCTCCGCACTCAGTATCTGCCGCTCTGCTGTCTCCCCAGAAACACCCCGACTTCCCCAAGAAGCCCCTGACTCCCTATTTCCGCTTCTTCATGGAGAAGCGAGCCAAATATGCCAAGCTTCACCCCGAAATGAGCAACCTGGATCTCACCAAGATCCTGTCCAAGAAATACAAGGAGCTTCCCGAGAAGAAAAAGGTATGGGGTGGGGGGAGTCAGCAAGCCCCTTCCCACTTGTCTGCCTCCGTGTGCCAGGCTCTGACTGCCCAGACTCTCCCAGTACAACCAGCAGAGCCCAGCCTCTGCCTGGTGAGGGTTGAATCCGACTCTCGATGGGAGAAAGCCGGGTGCTTGTTTAGTCTTGTCAGACCAGTAAGACTTCCTTTCCTTTTCCTGTCCTGGTTCCCAGGATCCGTGGGGTGGAGGCTGGCTGGGTCTGTCCGTTGGTCCGTCTCTTCCAGACGGACCTGGATGGTGACTTTGCTGTTGGGTGGATCTGTGTTTAATGCTGGGGTTAAATCACACGCCTCACCGTGGCCGCCCTGTCCGAGTGAGGGATGGAAGGGACAGGCTCTGCTCTGAGCCATGGGAGACGCTGGGAGGAGAGGTGCCCATCTCAGCCCAGCTCTGGAGGTGGCCCTGGGCTTGACTGGACCATGGAGAGCCCAGACAGGCATTTTGGGTTCCACTGCTCTCAATCTGGGTGGATTTGCCACTGGCAGGAAAGGTCCAGGGCACAAAGTCCTGCTGTGCCCTCTTGCCCAGGACTGCTTGGGTGGAGGAAGAGGAGAGATCCTGCCTCCAAATCCCTGGGCAGGCTGGAAACCCTCAGCTGGGAGCTGCAGGACTGGTCAGATGGGCTGGAGAGCCCTCGGGTCCCTTTGCGGGGTGGTGGGGTGCCCAGTCGACAGGGATGTATCTGCCTGCCTGTTCCGCAGTGCTGATGTCCCTCTCTCCACCTCCCTGGTGGCTTTGTGTCCCCAGATGAAATACATCCAGGACTTCCAGCGAGAGAAGCAGGAGTTTGAGAGGAACCTGGCGAGGTTCAGGTGAGCGGGCAGCCCCCTCCCTGCGTTTCCCTGGGCCCCTCCAGGCAGACCCAGTCTCCCCTCCTTCGTGTGGCTCACGGAGGAAGCTCTGATGGGCGCTGCGGCTTGGAAGCAGAAGGGAAGGGGGGATGATGGAAAAAAAAAAAAAAAAAAGAGCAAGGAAAGGAAAAAAGGAAGAGCAAGTGTCTGAGAGCAGCCCTCCAGCTGGGTGACTCGGCGAGGGGGAGAGAGCGGAGGACCAGCTAGGCTCTGGGGGTTAGGGTCTGCAGGGGGAGGACAGGAGCTCTGCCACCGGTACTGTTAAAAGCTGAAGTGACCACCCCGTTCCCTCCAGTCCTTTCCTTTGAACGTGGTCACTGTGACCCAGGTGGTTCCTGGCATTCCCGATGATCTGCCGCTGCTCCAGGGATGCAGCCCAGCCTGGTGCCGTGAAGGGGATGCTCCTAGCTGATGCTCCCCCAGGAGGGGCAGACTCAGATCATTCCTAAAATCCCTTCTGGTCTTTTTGGTCCCCCCACCCCGGTATCTGAGCCCATGGGGGCTTGGCCCAGCAGTGATGGTTACCCCTTAGCGGGGAGGTTTAAGGGGTACTCTCCTTCCACCTGCGACCTCCATAACGCTCTCCCTTCCCCGCCTCCCTGCTGGGTAAAGGGAAGATCACCCGGATCTCATCCAGAACGCCAAGAAATCTGACGTCCCCGAAAAACCCAAGACCCCCCAACAGCTGTGGTACAACCACGAGAAGAAGATCTACTTGAAAGTGCGTCCAGATGTGAGTACGGTGGGTGGGAGTGCGTGTGAGTGTGAGTGTTGAGGGGTCCTGTACCCCGCTGCTGGGGGGAGAGGAGGGGGAAAGGAGAGAAGCATTTTAGGGGGGGTGGGACGGGATGGAAGACACCGCTAGAAGCTCCCAGCAGTCTGGACAGAGGTAAGAAGGGACTCTGCACATCTGGAAGAGGCTCTGGGGGAGACAGACCCCATTTTTTGCCTGCAGTTGAAGGGGTGACCACAGCCTGAGTCAGGGCAGGAAAGATTTCCAGCACAGACATCCACCTCTGGCCAAGCCCCACACTTGCACGCACCCCCTTCCCTGGCCGCGAGCTTGGCTAGCAGCCGCCCCGTGGCCCCAAGCCGGGTGCCGCCAGGACAAGACGGCAGGCCACACTATTTTTGCCTTTTTTTTTTTAATTTTTTTTTTTTTTACCCCCCCTCTTCTATTTTTGGAGTTTACCCCTCTGCCCTCACCTCTGGCTTTGGGTTTTCAGGCCACCACGAAGGAGGTGAAAGAGTCGCTGGGCAAGCAGTGGTCTCAACTCTCGGATAAAAAGAGGCTGAAATGGATTCATAAGGCCCTGGAACAGCGGAAGGAGTACGAGGTAGGGAGCAGCCTCACCCGTTCCCCTCCACACTCGTCCCTACGTTCACTCTGAGCCACTCTGCCTCCCGGCCACTAGCCACCTGCGGCTAGCTAGCCTCACCCAATAGCCAGCATGGGGGTTCAGCCAGATCCCTGCAGGTCCCTAGTGAGTCTGAGCACTGCCTCCTCCAGCGACGTTTGGGGAAGGGAGAAGTGTCCCTGGGGAGATGATTAGGGCAAAGGTTGGCTTCTCTTTCCTCCTCCTCCGGCCCCCAGCCAAGCGGGGATCGGAGCCCTTCTCCTGACTGCTCTCCATCCTTTGCAGGAGATCATGCGTGACTACATCCAGAAGCACCCCGAGCTGAACATCAGCGAGGAGGGCATCACCCGCTCCACCCTCACCAAGGCCGAGCGCCAGCTCAAGGACAAGTTTGATGGCCGACCCACAAAGCCCCCTCCGTGAGTACCGTCCCTCTCTGAGCTATCGTGCGGACGCTGGTTCGTGCTAACGAGGAAGCTGGGGTTCTACGTGGCTTTGAGACCGACAAGAGCATCATTTCTGGGACCATGGCTGTCAATGACTCCATTAAACTGGTCCTAAAATATACATTAAATATACATTCGCTGAGAATCTGAGCAAGGTTTATGGTGATGCTGCATGCTCTGGGTTAGGGCGTAATCCAACCCTTAGATTCCCTAAAACACAGACACACCTAGCACAGCTCTTCACTGCCCAGTGCAGCCCAGCAGGCAGCTGGAGGCGTCTTGGGGGGCTCTTAGCACCCAACCAGCTCCGCAATGGGGACGTGAGCGAGGCGGGTTGTCCCTAATGTCCCTCCATCGGTTGCAGGAATAGCTACTCCCTGTACTGTGCAGAGCTGATGGCCAACATGAAAGACGTGCCCAGCACCGAGCGGATGGTGCTGTGCAGCCAGCAGTGGAAGCTGCTCTCCCAGAAGGAAAAAGACGCGTACCACAAAAAGTGTGATCAGGTGAGCGGATGAGGATGGACAAGACGGGTGGACGGGCAGATGGGCACCAGCGCTGTGGGGAGGGAGGAGTAGGATCACAGAATGGTCAGGGTTGGAAGGGACCTCTGGAGATCATCTAGTGCAACCCCAAAGGATGGAAGGGTTTGGGCTACAAATCTCGCTGGAGATGAGCCCTTTGCCCTTCCTCAATACCTGTTCTTGTTGTCTTGACCGCCAGTTCGTCCTGAGGTCTTCAGTCACCTCCCTTGGTCCTCTGTCTCCCCGGTCCATGTGTGTAGAGCCAGGAGATGGTCCGGGTGGAGGATGCTGTTGCCCAGGGGGCTGAGGGGACTGCACGAGGCAGGGATAGGAAGGGGGGATAATCTCCGTGTAACCGCATGTCTCCATCTCCCTCCAGAAAAAGAAAGACTACGAGATTGAGCTGCTCCGCTTCCTGGAGGTGAGTGATGTGAGGGTGCTGGAGACCCCAAATGTGGAGAGGGAGCCCTGGCCGGGGACCGGGATGGGTTAAACGGAGGCTGCACTGATGTTGCTCTCTTCTGCTCCCCCCAAAATGTGGCTGGACCCAGCTGTGGGTGCTGTGCAGAGGTGTTTGCACAGGGTCTTGACCCTTCCCTACCTGCCCTAATACCTGACCCAGTGTCTTCCAGTTGAGCGCTGGGAGGTGGGGACAGAGCACCCCCCCAGGCAGGAGGGGAAGCCGGGGGTGAGCGGAGGGCTGGTGCTGGAGGAGGGGTTGCCACCAGTGGCTGCGACCGTGCAGGCGGCAGCGTGTTTCTCGCTTCCTTCCCTCGGCCAGGGCGTAGGTGGGGGGAGCCGCACCGAGGCCGTCGCAGCATCGTGCTCGGTCCCCGGGCGGACGTGACGCGGCCCCGGCTGCGGCTGCAAGGGCAGGGGGGTGGAAAACCCAGGGGTGCGCGTGGATCCGGGCACCTGCCCGCCCTGCCTTTGCAGAGAGGAAGCAGATGAGACCGAGCCAGGGAGGGGAACAGAGCTGGGGAAGGAAGGGTGACATTGCCTGGCGAGGGGGGAGGCAGAGGCGTGGGGACCCCCAAGCTGCGCACCCAGGCGTTCCGTGCCTGATGTCGGCCCTGGCGGGGGTGGCTTTTGGATTGGGACAACTGAGTGCGTTAGTTCCCCCCTCCCCAGTGTCCCCATTGCCTGATTGCACCAAAGCCTCGTTAGCGTTGGGGCCATCTAACCGTGTCTCTCCTCCTGTGCCACCCAGAGCCTGCCCGAGGAGGAGCAGCAGCGGGTGCTAGGCGAGGAGAAGATGCTGGGCAGCAACCGGAAAGGGGCGACGAGTCCTGCATCCAAAAAGTCCTCACCAGAGACGGGCAAGGTGAGAGGAGCAACTGGGGAGATGGGGCAGCACGTGCCAGACACATGGGATGGGGTTGCTGGCATCTCACAGCGCTTTGAAGGCTTTGTTCCTTGGTTCTTTCACCATGTTTTTCCTGGGGTTGGAGGCCACCAGTGCGAGGCAGGTCCCTCTGTGGGCTTGCCCCCACCCACGGGCCCCGTGTCCCTCCCGCAGGCCAGCTCAGAAAAGCCCAAACGGCCCATCTCCGCCATGTTCATCTTTTCGGAGGAGAAGCGGAAGCAGCTGCAGGAGGAGCGGCCGGAGCTGTCGGAGAGCGAGCTGACCCGGCTCCTGGCCCGCATGTGGAATGACCTCTCCGAGAAGAAGAAGGTCGGTACCATCCCCGACCCTTTTCCATCCTTGTCTCTGCTGCTCCGTTGGGAACGTCCAGCAGTCCAGGGGATGCTGCCTGTCCTTGTCCTGCTGCAAGGGGCTTTGCTCGCCCCCCGGGCACCGCAGCTGGGGGATGATTGTCCCCAGGAGCATCACAGCTCCAGCGAGCCATCACCCAAGCACCCGTGTTGGCACCGATGGGTGCCACCAGCTATGCCCTCTTCTCGTGACCTGGTGGGTCAAAACCCAGCAGTTAAGGAAACCTTGGAGGGTCCTTGACCCTCAATTTAAAGGCTTGATGGTTTTCTCTGGGGATAAGAGTCCCGAGACCTGGGTGTGCGTGGCGGGGCGCTGCTGGTGCTGCTGTGGGGACAGCACTGGGGGAAGCTACGGCGTCCTGCTGCTCAGTGGCCGAGGGGCTTGTGCCCGGGGGGCTGTGCTGCCCCTTCACCCGCGCCGTGCACCCCTGCGCAGGCCAAGTACAAAGCGCGGGAGGCGGCGATGAAGGCACAGTCGGAGAAGAAGCACGGCTCAGATAAAGAGGAGCGCGGGAAGCTGCCCGAGTCTCCCAAGACGGCTGAGGAGATCTGGCAACAGAGCGTCATCGGAGACTACCTGGCTCGTTTCAAGGTGAGGAGTGGGCTGGGAAAGGAGCTTGAATTGGGGTCTTCACTCCCACCAGCAGGCATTGCCTTGCACCTTCTCCCTTGCCTTCACACCCGAGGCAACAGGTTGGGGCTGGGAGCCACGGGGAGGATGGGGGTCACAGCAAGGGGAGCGGGTGCCCTGTGGCCCACGGTGGAGACGGCGGTAGCGCTCCAACGTCTTGGGTGCATCTGTAACGTGGCGTGGGGGGTCTGTGCCGCAGAACGACCGGGGGAAGGCACTGAAGGCCATGGAGGCCACTTGGAACAACATGGAGAAGAAGGAGAAGCTGATGTGGATCAAGAAAGCGGCGGAGGATCAGAAGCGATACGAGGTGGGTCCCTGCTCCATCCCACCCCTCACCGTGCCCCCGCAGCCGGTACTGCCCCTCTCTCCCTGACCCCTCTCTCTTCTCCGGCTCAGAGGGAGCTAAGCGAGATGCGGGCCCCTCCATGCTCCACCAACTCCGCCAAGAAAATGAAGTTCCAGGGAGAGCCGAAGAAACCTCCTATGTGAGTACCCGGGGTCTGGGGTCCGAAAAGTTGGATCTGGCTGGGCAAGCAGGCTGGTGGAAAACAGCCTGGAGCAGCCGTGGGGTGGAGGCAGCGTGGGCTTGGACCATGGTGAGGATGGCTGGTGGTTAGTGCGGGTTGCTTGTGGACACCTCGGTTCTCCGTGCACGCCGTCCGATGTGGTCTCCGCGCTCCTCTCTCACAGGAACGGTTACCAGAAATTCTCCCAGGAGCTGCTGTCAAACGGGGAGTTGAACCACCTCCCGCTGAAGGAGCGGATGGTGGAGATCGGCAGCCGTTGGCAGCGCATCTCCCAGGGCCAGAAGGACCACTATAAAAAACTGGCGGAGGAGCAGCAGAAACAGTACAAGGTGCACCTCGAAATCTGGCTCAAGGTGAGCATCGGACCCTGACTCACGGTGGAGTGGCACTGGGGGGCTCTGGGATTGGATGTCCTTGGGGATACTTGGCGTGGTCTTTGCTCACAGCCTGCCCCTGGGCAACCACCATCTCCGGACCCCTTTTTTGACATTTTGTAACTTTAAGAGCCTTTAAAAAAACCCACATATATATAGGTGGGGAGGGGGCGCCCTGTGCTAGAGTCCTTCCCCGCTCCGTCCCCCACTCCGTGCGCCCTGACCGTCTCCCCTGTCTCCGCAGAGCCTCTCGCCTCAGGAGCGGGCTGCCTACAAGGAACACACTTCCAACGTGAGTATCCACCCGTCACCGCCATACCGGTGGGGGGGAACGGGACCTGGGGGCTTTGGGCTGGGCTGGGATCAGGGTTGGGGTGTGCGGTAGATGAGCTGAGCTCGGGAGAGCCCCGCAAAGGGGTTCACCCCTGTAGGAGCTCGGCAGTGGGTTTTTCTCCGTGCTGGGCACTGGGAAGGAGCCGAGCTGGAGTCGTGCAGCACTAAACGGTTTTATCTTGTTCCCTTCCTCCTTGCAGAAACGCAAGAGCATAGGGAAGATCCGGGGCCCCAACCCCAAGATGAAGCCAACGATGCAATCCAAGTCGGTGAGTGCAGGACGGCCGTGCTGCGCGTTGGGGACACCCAGCACCCTTCTCCCTGGGGAGAGCGTCCCAGGGGGGGACCCAGACCTCTTGCTTGAGGCGTCCCTGGTGCTTTCTGCCACCTGCCTTGTCCTCGAGACAATAACCTCCCCAAATCGGTGCTCAAAACCCCCCTGGTCTGACTTCCCCACCCTGTAGTCTGCGACATCCCCGTGCACCCCCTTCTGGGAGTCTTTTTGGGGCCGTTTTTAACATAAATGGGGAAAAACTCCCAGACAAGGTGTGGGGTAGGAGCCACCTGATCCCACTGGGTGGATGGAGGAACCTGAAGGCTGATGGCCAAGGATGGGATGGTGCACCCATGGGTGCTGGTGTCCCGGGGCGCCCGCCCACGACCGACCCCCTCCCGCCCCGCAGGAGTCAGAGGACGACGACGAGGAGGAAGATGAGGAGGAAGACGAGGACGACGACGAGGATGACGACGATGACAACGGCGACTCGTCAGAGGAAGGCGGCGACTCCTCGGAGTCCAGCAGCGAGGAGGAGAGCGAGGACGGGGACGAGGTGAGGCTGCGCTGGGTGC